CCCCCCCCTTTCTTTTTTCTCGACTAACCCTCGCAGTGGTCTACTTTTTCTTCCCTGAAACTGCGCATATGACTCTAGAGGAGATTGCCAGGAACTTTGGCGAAGAAGTCGCCGTGCAGGTGACCGATGCAACGGACGAGGAAAAGGCCCGTCTGGATCTCAACCTGATGAACGAACAGACCAAGCCGGCGCCTGTTGACTCGGCTGTCGAGCAGACGGAGTGAAGATGAATCTAGCCTGTCTGGCCAGATTGCTTGCTATGGAACGAGGATTGATGCTGTACTGATATGCCTGGATAAATCATAACCCGCCACCTGATAATGATGTACCTAGTTCTACATGCCTTGAAATGAAAATTATTGTACTCGGAAACCTGACATCAAATATCGGCCCCCTCCGACATCGAATCGGCCCCTCCCGCTTTCAATCTTTTGGTATGGTTGATCTTGTCGATCTCGGTACATGGAATCCATGTCCGGAGGAACCATGGATCGGGGTGGCTCATCTTTCTTTCGGCCGATAACAACATAACATACCATAACATAGAAAGACCGAGATGGATGTACCTAGGGATTCAGTCCCAGTCCTTTACTCTATTATTAGGTATTTGCACAAGAAAAATGTAGTAGAGAGCCTCGGTATAACCAACTCAGATCCTTGGACCTCGGCCATTGAATATACCTACGTCGTATAGCTAATATAGCCTGTTCCGGCAGGTGGCTAAGTGATATTTTCTGATTAGGATCTTCACAGGGATCAAAGTAATTGAAGTATGTACTGTAGTATAGGAGTATAGTAGGATAGGAGTATAGAGTATAGAGTATAGAGTATATTCTGTTAGGTCTTATATAACCATACAAGATTGACGGCATCACCAAGTATATAGTACCAGTTCCTTAACTACAACTAACTGAAAAGTTCGAAACTTATACTCATAATTCTACTTATACTACTTAATAATTAATCCTAATCATTCTCGGCCCTGGCAAGCCGAGACGCGAGGCTGTAGAAGCCACCTCCATCACCAACTGAGTAAGCATGCATAGAACCTTATCTATTATTATGATTCTATTGAATTTTTTTATTATTATCCTTATTATTATATTCCTTCGTCGCCACAAAATACCACTCATCTCGCTGTCAGCCGCGGTTCCCTGTCTACCCGTATATATCCACTCTGGGGGTGGGATCCTGGGGAGGCGAAACGATCATTATTTCCCGAGTTTCAATACCCTCCACATTGTCGAATCAATGGAGCCATTATTACATTAGTTGGATTTCTTTTTTGCATCGGGTGGCCACCTCGGTTTCCTGGTACAAGTCAATGGAATGGATAGATATAAGAGGGATGGTTGAGTTCTTGCGGCCATAGGATTTGCACCCCTCTCAGCTCACTCACTCACTCCCTTCCTTTCTCATTCCTCACCCACTCTCTGTCATGTCACTAGAGAGAACGTTTTCTCTAATATCCCGCCGCATGACCACTCCTCCTCACACTTCCAGCAGTGCAGAGCCTCGTCGGCGTGTACGGCGCTGGCATCAACGGGGATTCACCGGTTGTTCTACCTGCCGTCGACGGCATGTCCGCTGCGACGAAGCATCTCCCCGGTGTCAGAATTGCTTTCGTCTGGGCCTCGAGTGTGATGGTTCCCAAGGCCGAATGACCTTTAAAGTCTACAATCCTGCCTCGAATCAGCAGAATCAAGCAAGCACCACCACGCCAGAAAGCTCCGAGTCAGAACCCACGCAGCAGAGGAGAACAGTGAGCCCAGAGACAGACAAAACAGACAGCACCAGCATCGCAAGTCCACTTAGCAGTCTTGAGATGTTTCTGGCTTTGACTTCTCCTCAGCCACAGAACGGCCGGCAACTACCACCACCACCACCACCACCACCACCACCACGACGCATCACCGGTGATCTCCCTTCGTCTCCCACGTTAGAGTTGGATGCTGGTACAACACCATTGCTTAATGTCGAGGAGGAGGGCTATATTCTAGCACATTTCGTCAATCACGTCTCCATCCTGCTGATTGCACATCATGGCCCCGTCTACGCCATCAACAAGAGCAACAAGAACAATACCAAAAACCCCTTTCAATGTGACTTTCCTCTTCTCGCGCAGTCATCGCCTGCCATGCTCGGGGCTATGCAGGCCCTAGGCGCACTGCATCTTGCAAACACAGCAGCTTCAGGCACCCAGGATACCAGGCATTTCCAGTATGCCATGGCCAAATACAGCGACGTGGTCAAGTTATTCCGCCTAAAGTCCCACCAGACCGGCCAGAGGACCTTATTAGCAGACCTGGCGACCTGTCTGCTCTTATGTTATTTCGAGGTGAGATATCTTATATCATACTCATGCTAATTAATCATCTATTAACTCTCTAGATGATGGATTCACAACACCCCAACTGGCTGGTCCATCTCAAGGGCGCCAAAGAGATATACCGAATCATGTTCCATCCAACCCCCGCAGAGCAGGCAGACCGCGTGGGAGAAGGCGAGCGCCAGGCCGCCGTGCGCCATCCTCTTCTCACCGATCTCCTCTTGCTCCTGGCCGATCTGGACGTCGCCGGTGCATGCGCCACCGTTAATGGTACCGTAATCCCCGGTCCCTATTGGCGGATGCATGCTGTCGATGGTGGCGGCAGTGCTGCTGCTGGCTGGGAGCAGGAACACTTGCACAACACTACCAATACCAGTCCTACCCCTGTTTCCTTTACCGGGCGCGACCAGGTTCTAGCAGAGTTAACAGACGCCTGGGCTGGATTGATGGAGATCCGAGCCTCGACCAGCAAGTTCGGCAAGGCAAAGGACGAAGACATGCCTGTCGAACAGCAGGATGTGGTCTTCGGTGACTTGCTCAACAGCCTTCTAGCTTGGAGGGCTAGTGCGCCGGAATGCCTGAGGGTCTTGGGCCTGCTCGATCTGAATACTACTACTAGACCCACTACCAACAGCTGCCTCCCTTCTTATCCATATCCGGATCTACTAGCATATGCAGCTTGTCTCGAGGCTTACGAGAAAGCGACGGCCCTCCACCTCTACAAGATCGTGGCGGCAGGCCGTCCAGATCAACAAATCAATCTCGCCCATCTGAATCTCCTAGCTTGTCGGATCCTAGATCTGGTGGCCTTTCTCGCCGATGGGGTTGGCCAATTGGCCATCCTGTGGCCCCTGTTCATAGCGGGGCGTGAAGCCTGCGACTATACCCAGCAGCTTGCTATTCGAGATAGGATGATTGGTATGCAGCGATTCGGCTTCAAGGTGCGTTTTTGCCCTCCCCCTTTCTTTTTTTCTCTCTTTTGTCATTTCCCCTCTCCTGAATATATTCTAGGGAAAAAAAAGAAGCTGACGATTTGATTTGTACTCGACTATAGAACGTTGAACGTACCCTGGAGTCACTGGAAGATTTCTGGTCGAGAAAGCGAGCCTTCCCCGGAATCTGGATCGAGAGCATCAATGATTTGCGCTCGTCTGTTTTACTTTGATAGTATTATTTTGATGGATTAGAATCCCTGCGCCTCACAAAAGCTACTGTTTTCACTGCTCTGTCTTACAACTGGCTGCGTTGTCCGAGCTCTGAAACATTCGATTGTTTTTGCTTTCTTATGTGCTTTTTTTTCCTGGTTTCTCTACTTTTCTTCAGGAAAGGTGTAGCTGGAGCATTGGCGAATCATTTATGCTATACTGGTTCATAGATTGAAATGAGATCATGAGATCATGGCTTTAGATGTCCGACAATCTCGAATTCATCCTTCAAAGGATCGGCTGGTATTATAACTAGCCAGCTCTCGCAGAATCCTGTGGCTGGGAGCTGATACTTGAGACTGGCTAGCCGTAATGACCTTTGTCTGTGCATTTTCCTGCTAGCAACTAGCGGGCACATCTCGACCAGTCTCGTACCCAAGTAAGCGAATGAAGGAGTCACCTCATCTTGTTAGTACTTGACAGCCGTATGCAGCTACAAGGGAGGTATCCCGCTCAATCATCTTGATTTGAACCCTTTTCCAGCGGTTGCCCCCCAGATATCTGGAAATCACCCAGGGACACTATCTTTGCTGTAGTACCGGTGATAAGACTCCCTCCACTGGAGTCTAGACTGAAGTATAGGAAGTGGGCATTGACTCGTGAGCAAAAAAGGCACTCAAGTTGTCCAGACACAAAATACACTCGAGTGGGAATCCGCATGAGATCCTTCCCAACAGGACCAATGGTAATGGTGAGATATTGGTATCCCTCCGAGCGTGGCTGAGCTGCTGCTAACTAGTTTGTCGACCATGAGTAATAGTCCATGCAATAGAATCGTATTGGCGTCCAGTTTTTCAGATCTGGGCCACTTCTTGCCTATATACTTATGAGCCACCTGGCCGAACATCCGAATTGCCACCACTGCCCCTCAATAGCTATGCCTCCGTCAAGCTTTACCGCTCTGCCTTGGACGGCCTAACGGCTCGCGGACAAAAGACTTACTGAGTGCTTCGTAAGTCCTCTGCAACGCCTGCGCCCTCGGACCTATTTCGGCACTACGGGATACTTCGTATTCTGTCAGTACTTCATATGTCATGGATTTAAATTGACGTCATACCTCAATGCGAGAAATCCAGAGGAGAAATCTGCCTCTTTCAGCCAACAATTCTTTGTTTCCTTTACGATCACAGCAAGCTGAGTATGGGGGCCTTCCTGGGAGGCTAACAGGAGAAATTGTCGAGAGCAGTGATAAAGGCTTTTGCAATGAAAGTTTTCGGCCGGATCGATGAAGAATCTCCTCAATCCATTGTGGTTCGGCGTATTTGGTGTCGATTGATAGAACAGGTCGCCCGGGGGAATACGTCAGGATTGACTATGGCAAGGTCAATGCTTGCATCCAATTCGAGAGTAGAATCATCAAGGCTTAGTACAGTACCTGTCATAACTATAGATGGATTCGGAATGCCACGCAACTCCAGGTGTTTCAGGTCTGATCATGTTCGACTTAACCAGGAGTAATCAGCCAGTCATTTCTGCAACTGTCACCCTCGAGTGAGACACTGATAGATCAAGTTGAATCTATCCTGAAAATAACAATATGAGCCATCTGCCATGGTTTAGTGTAAGTCTGTCGTCTGGACTCAGAGGAAGGAAGGTGTCGTGACCACCCGGATCGGTGCTTTCCTTCTTCCGCGGAAGTCTTAAGAAATTCCAGGCTGCCACCAGTTGATTTTGACACGACAAGCTTCAACTCTTCAACTGTTGAATGGCACCTTCTGAGGCCAGGCTTGAATATCTTTTCCAAATCGTTCCTCCGTATGCCTTCTGCCCCTCCTTGTTGTAATTCCTGGAGCAGATTTTCTTGCTCGAAATGGGCATTTAATCAGAAATAATTGGGTAGTTACAGAAGAAAATGATATTTTCAAACTATCCCTACATCTAGGAACGGCTAATACCTTGATTGCTACAGTCATAGCTTGAATTGTGTCGAATATAGGAGCATATAGGCCGTGGGACATGATGAAGATCATATCTGGTCCGATGACCTCTCTCGAATTACTATCAATTTACAGGACTGCAGTTCTTGCTTCCAACTAAAATATTGGGAGTTATATGGCTTCGAATGGATTGAAAGAATGGGCAAGAAACAGCCCTGATGTTGTTCTCTTCCAAGTATTCCAGCCAGTTCCTTGCGAGTGCCGCTGCCTATATGCCCTACATTGAGCAATGGACATTTTGGTTCAATGGCCATCATTGTCGAAATGAATATTGCCCAGGAGATCTTGAGCCTACAGGGATCGTCTAACGCCAATCCTTTCACAACTGATCTCTCAAAACAGCAGTCGGAAATGGTGGAACAGCATCTCAAGCAGCTATAATTATCCATATTAAGTAGGAAAAGAGATCTTATTAATATCTAGTGTCAACGAGTTAAATGGTACTACAAGTCAACATTACTAACTTGGTGGCTTACCGGAAAGTTGTCCTTTATATCCTGATCTGACGCACACTAGGACATCCTCCAATATTTCTACCTCGAATCACCATAAAGATAGCCCGGCTTGTGAGACAAGCTAATAAGCTATTGTATAAGCTCTACATTATTTTTGGCTGGCGGTCTCAAACACCGAGTTTGACGCAGCTTGTGTGGACTATGCAGCACGTTCTTCCGACGGTCCTGACGGCAATCTATTGATCGAAAGAAGAGGAGACATCAAATTCCCCTTGACCCATCAAAACCCACCTCCTTCGTGCGTTATGTCCAGCAACAAGCATTGACCAAGCTTTTGCGAGTCTCGGCGGCGATGTCGGAAGAGTTGGCCGCAGCCTTGGTGTGGTTTCGGTATTGCAGAATGCAGATCTGTCAAGAATAGCGACGAGAAGCTATAATAAGGCGCACTTTCTGGATAGCATTTATTTATCAAAGATGGCCAACTACAGTCGGTGATTCATAAGAAGACTTGAACAGAACCGAATTCCACTATAGCCAACAATACGATGATGAGAATTCATACTACCTGATCCCCGAAACAGGGATGATTACTAGTATTTTCTGTCTATTGCTAATTCACTCAATAATTGATTAACGCTGCATAGGCAGTAAACTACTAACTAGCCAGTTACTAACTACTTTAGACGTTGTTCCACTGTGTTTCATACCCAAGGCTAGTGACCTAGTTGGGTGCTCTCGAGATTACTACGGAGGAGCCAAGACAACACCAGCTATGAAGTTGTTTCAGCTTCACGATCCGCCTGCCACTGCTATCGCGAAGATAGGGTGCCGATCCAATGGCATTCCGAATGATGTCGGCTACCGACCCTGCGGCGATAACTCGATCGGACGATTCGCGAAGGTTTAAAGGGCTGGTACCTGATAGTGATACCCCGGTTGCAGACTGGTGAGAACCTAGCGCCGTCAGCCTCCAGACAGTCAACAATGCTGGCAGCTCTTCCTCCTTTTCACTCGTCCAGCAATCTGCCCAAGTTTCACCTCATAGCATCCTCTCATCTTGAAGGTGAAGGCGGCGACAGCGCCTTCCCCCCGCTCCATTACGCGGTGGCTCATTATTAGCATGCCGAACAATGCTGCCTACATTCCACAGCCCTAGGCCACCACCACCACCACCACGCCTTGGGGCGCGAAAGAGGGGGCCACAAATTTTAATAATGGGCGATAATAATAATTGTTCATCCCGCAAAGGAAATTGTAGTAGTAGTAGTAGTAGTGGCGTGAATATGTAACTAATTTAAGATTTTGGGTTCTGTCGCTCGCAGCTCTGCCCTACATTATTGTCTGTCGCTGGATTCCTCTTCCATCCTTCCAGAGGCCTTAATTCCCCTTCCTCTCCCCTCCCCCTCCCCTGCCTTTCTCCCTCTGTCCTTCATTCTTCGAGTTGGCGACCACTTTCGCTCCTTCAGCACAGCTGTTTTCCTTTCCTTTCTACTCTCCTTTCTGCCTGCGGCCCCTGGAGTTTCCGTTCCATTCGCTATTACTGAACGTGTTTGGCTTCCTCTCTCCAGAAGAACAGAACCATTCATTATCTTCTTTTGACCACTGTTGAACAGTTAGTTAACCGACAAGTCATCTCGGGGCCTCGTCGAACTTCGCAAACCCCATTGTGTCCAATACTAAATACATTGTGGCTAGCATTCGGCGGGTCTACCGGTTGTTGTCAAGAAATCGTGGAATCCGATACTGTTCTGGCTGGACCCCTACAATTCATTCTTCTCTATCTCTCTCTCTTTGCTTGGCTATCAGATTTGAGATCGATTTTCCCTGCCTGTCGCAATCCACACCATGCACTCCTTATCGCAATTTGTAGCCAGCCTCTTGGCTGGCGTAGCCGTCTTTTCCAGTCCCACCGACGCCTTTTGGCGTCTTCCTTGTCGTGGAAGAACCGGTGTTGCCAGAATGGATCCTCTAGTTGATCCAGGGATGATTGCATATCATGCCCACGCAGTGGAGGGATCGGGCAGTGAGTTCTCGATCTGAATGAATGCCAATGAGTTAGCCATCTCTCTTCTAACCGTGCATGACCACTGCAGACTTCGCCCTGTCGGTGACAGAAGACAGTTTGAGAGCGTCGAACTGCACCTCCTGCGCCGTGCTCCAGGACAGGTCTGCCTACTGGGCACCACCGCTATATTTCTTGCACACCAACGGCAGCGCGGAGTTGGTTGAACAAGTTGGTGGTATGCTTGTGTGAGTGACCCCTTGTTCCATGTTAATTCTACCTATTCGCTTGAAATTGCTAGGTACAACCAGTCTTCTATCTTTTTAATAACATGATAAAAACCGCAGATACTATCTCCTGTATGGAGAAAACGTCACGGCATTCCCGGAAGGCTTCCGGATGCTGGCCGGTGATACATACCAGCGCAACTTCACCTGGCCCATTCCCGACCCTCCCAAGTCGGACTGGACAGGTGCGCAACTGTCTCAGAAAGCACTGCAACAGAAGGCCTTGGGGTTCAATTGCCTGAACTATGCCGTTGCAGCGGAGCCCTCGCTTTACCGTCACTTCCTGCCCAACAAGACCTTCATCGACGAGCAATGCGTGGATGGTGTTCGCTTCGAACTCATGTTCCCATCCTGCTGGAACGGCAAGGATGTAGATTCGCCAGACCACAAGTCCCACATGGCTTATCCCACGCTCGTTATGGACGGCGATTGCCCTGAAGGGTATGAGTCGCGTCTCGTCTCCATGTTTTTCGAAACCATCTGGAACACCTATGCCTTCAAGGATGTTGAAGGCGAGTTCGTCATCGCCAACGGAGATCCCACTGGATACGGATATCATGGCGACTTCATCACAGGGTGGGAACCGGACTTCCTCCAGGAGGCGGTTGAGACATGCACCAACGCGACCGGCATGGTCGTGGACTGCCCGATCTTCGATCTGCAGGATGAAGACGCGCAAGAACAGTGCAAGTTCGAGGTGCCCGAAGCTCTCCAGGACGAAAACGTCTACATGCACGCTAACGGGCTCCCGGGAAACATCCTCATCGAGCCCGGTCCCGCGTATGCTAGCCCCGTCCGCTACGTTGGAGTTTCCACCGCCTCGGCCAGTGCAGCCGCCGCAGCCGCCGATAGTACTAGTAGCGTTGCTGTCGATATTATTAGCAGTACTTCTGCTGCTGCCGTTGATCTCATTAGCAGTACTGCTGTTGCTGCTGTTTCTGAAGTTCGGCAGCTGGAATCCGCCACTCCAACCATGACCTCCTACGAGACCACCGTCACACAAGAGATCATTTACATCGAGCAGGAGATTGTCGTCTATATCAACGATGAGGGTGTACCGACCGAGACCGAGACGGCCGGTCTGCAGACTGTGTCGTCGACTTACACGACGACAACGCAGGTCGTTTACTCTACCGTTTCGGAGGCCAGTCAACCCGTGAAACGGAATCTGGGCCACTCCCACGGTCACAAACATGGACATTTCTTCCATTGAAGAATGAAGAAACCTAGCACAAAACTGGTCGTCTGCCAGACTTCTCTGGCTATCTCCTTCTCTTCTCTCTGGGCTGGTGCCCAGCAACCTTTTCTCTTCCCATTCTCCTGTTGATAATTATGACTCTCTTGTTCATATTATTTAGTAGTCTATCTCCTTTCTCGATGGAGTGTTTTCAATCTCATGGTCCGGTTTTCACCGCGGACGCAACGACCAGAAACTATTCTAGAATTTCTTTCTCTCTCTTCATGTAGCGGACGGCTTCTGTGTCTTGTCAATTGCCATGTAGTCTCTCCTGTATGCTCGCCTCGGATCGTCACCTACATGAAGATCTGGCTACGGAGTCAGGCTACCCAGGTACTACTTACTACCCTGTCAAGACCACCTTCCTAGCCACCGGCGTCCTGTCTGATTTGCATTTATCCCCATTCATCCAGATCTGGGAGGCTTATTATATAGCAGTTGCTTTCAATTACTTGATTCTCACCGTACTATTCAATTCTTTTCTCTGTATATTGTCTGATGTCGGCGGGCTCTGCCTAGATAGGCCTAGCACCACCAGGCTTGCCTTTTCTCTGTCGCCTCGCGCGCGTTCTGGATAGCTTCATCATCCACCATTATGTAGTATTCCGCCAAGCTCATGTCTAGCCTTCCCGCCATCATCTGATCTTTGGCTCGAATTACTGTAGCTATTACTCTATTATTATTGTTATCCATGTTGGTTAATAATTAATACACTGACTTTTTGAAGTGGATCCCATGAAATTTTCAAGAATGACGTATGGAATAATACTCCGTCCTCAACCGTTTGGACATATTGTTATACTACACTGTCATCACGGGAGTAGTATTCTTCATGATCCATATTTTGCCCTACTCAAATAGCAGATATAACTATTAACCCTCCCCCTCTCCTCTTTTTACTTGTCCTGACTGATTCACTTCAGTACGCTGCGAGTTTTGAGTACTATTATGAAATTTTTCGGTGGACACAAGACTTTCCACTTCCCAAGGCACCGCAGTGGAGTTCAATTAGTAAATGATCAGCCCGTGGATGCCTTGTCCGGAGTCTCTCGACCAATATGAGCCGATTCAGCGGCTGCGGCTTGCAAGCCAAAACAGTCGCCGGGCCCATCGGCCACCCGGGTTTGTCTTAGAAAGGTTCGAATCACAGCCCTGTCTCACACAATTAGTAGGAGTACTCCATGGTACTCCGTACTTCGGTTTGCCGGGGACATTGCCCAATTTCCACTGATGACGACGAGGCGTTTTTTTCGCGGCGAATCACTCTGTGGGGATCCAATCTCAGTGCGCGCGTGTCTGCGGGACATAGGCAGCCTGTAAGAAAGGGAAAATGCCGAGATGGAGATGGAGAGACCCTCTTCCAATCTTCAAGAGTTGCTGGTTCCGGAGAACCGCTTGGCGGGTGAGAAAGGGAGCATGTTCATTGATTAACACACATAATACTTATTGTCTCTTCTTTCCCGCGTGAAACTCAATTGGATTATTTGCAGAGTTCTTTCCGATTCTGCGCGGTTGTCAGTTTCTATCACCACCACCACCACATACCTTTTCCCTCTTCTTCTTTTGTGCTGTCTCCTGTAATAGGTAACAGAAGTGCAGATACCCTTTCCTCTCTCCTATTGTACCCCCGGCGGCTCGACGTCACCGGACTGGCTTCTTTTGTTGATAACTTGCGGAAACGAAACAAAACGAAGAAAAGGCATCATCACCCATCCAAAGATTGATAAGCTTTTAGACTGCTTGACCTCGACTTTCCGTAAGCAACATTCCCATTCGCGACTTGTGGAACAAGATCGTCTTGTCCGACAGCAGCAACTTCAGACAGCGACATCTTCACCGGTCTCTCTAGGACACCCACATCCCACATGCAACAAGTTATCATTCTGACTTAGGTCCCATCCTACCCCTTTACGACATCTCCGTTGATCGAAAGATTTTTTTTCTTCTTCTTCTCTTTTCTTCTTGACTCTCGCGGCCCTTGCAACTCGACAAGTACCATCACTTGAACGTTCGAAACAATGAAGGAATCGGATATAGAGCACAAGGCAGCCATGAAGCCGGCCTCCAGTGACAGTGAGGATTCCGGATCCATGGACTCCGATGCAGCCAAGCTGGCTGAAATGGGATATTCGCAGGATATGCAGCGCAATTTCTCTGTGTTGTCCCTCATTGGAATTGCGTTTTGCATGTCGAATTCCTGGTTCGGCATTTCTGCTTCACTGATCACGGGTATCAGCTCTGGAGGCACCGTCCTCATTATTTATGGGCTGATATGGATCTCACTCGTCTCGCTGTGTGTCGCCTCCTCGTTGTCGGAGCTGGCCAGTGCTATGCCGAACGCCGGCGGTCAATACTACTGGGCCAGCGAGCTGGCGCCCAGAAAGTATGCCCGATTTGCTTCCTACTTCACCGGCTGGTTCGGGTACGCAGGTGCAATTTTCGCCAGTGCCAGTGTGGCACTCAGTCTGGGGTCTGCTGGAGTTGGCATGTGGCAGCTGGGACATCCGGACTTGTAAGAACTCTTCTTATTATTGATCTCCCAATCCTCCTGAGCTAATAATTGTTCCTGATGATCAGCGTCCCCAAGGCGTGGCATACTGTTGTTGCATACCAGTTGATCAATTTCTTCTGTTTCTTGTTCAACTGTGTTGGAAAGCTGCTTCCTGGAGTTGCAAAGATGACCCTATATATATCTCTGGTGTCCTTTTTGGTAATCTTGATCACCGTTCCCGCCTGCGCTCACCCCCATGCCAGCGCAAAATTTGTCTTTGCGGAATTCGTCAACTCCACTGGGTGGAAATCTGACGGGATCGCCTTCATCGTCGGTCTGATCAACCCGAACTGGATCTTTGCGTGTCTCGACTCAGCAACACATTTGGCAGAGGAGGTACCTCAACCGGAGCGAAACATCCCCATTGCCATCATGGCCACGGTAGGTATTGGCTTCACGACCGCCTGGTTTTACTGCATTGCCATGTTCTTCAGCGTCACCGACCTTGATGCTCTTGTGGACACGGCCACAGGCGTTCCGATCCTGCAGCTCTACTACCAAGCGCTGAAGAACAAGACTGGCGCCATCGTTTTGGAGACGTTGTTGCTGGTCACGGGTATGGGTTGCCAAATCGCTTGCCACACTTGGCAATCTCGTCTTTGCTGGTCCTTTGCGCGCGACGGCGGTCTACCGGGCTCCAAATACCTGGCTCGCGTGAACAAGCAGCTTGACGTTCCATTCATCTCGCACTGTGTCAGTTCCTTCATCGTCGGTCTACTGGGGCTTCTCTACCTTGGATCTTCCACCGCATTCAACAGTATGGTGACTGCCTGCATCACCCTGCTGTATGTTTCCTACAGTACACCCATCCTCTGTCTCTGGTATCGCGGGCGCAACAACATCCAACACGGTCCGTTTTGGCTAGGAAATCTAGGAATGGTTTGCAACGTGGTCACCTTAGCCTGGACCGTGTTTTCGTTGATCATGTATTCGTTTCCGTCGACCTACCCTGTCAATGCCGGCAGTAAGTGGTGCCATACTCCCTGGATGATTTGAACTCTTCATAACAGCTGACCTTTTGTTACTTTTTTTGCTGCAACAGATATGAACTATGTCTCAGCCGTATATGGTATTATCATCTTCATCGTCCTCCTCGACTGGGTTCTCCGTGGTCGTCATGAGTTCAAAGGTCAAGACAGCCGACACACTGCAACCGAAATCAGCCATGCTGGGCATGGTACCTGTCTATAGAGCAGAATTTGGGTCGGGGGGATGTGTGTTCTTATCTTCACTTGTACAGTGCAATCCAGTTTGGATACAGCCTTGTCAGATATACACAGGCATAAATTGCCTGAAAACGTTCAAAAGATGTATATAGAACCGAAAATAGACTTCCAACATAGACATCGACGCTATGATATCTCGCTGTAAAGACAGAATTTCCTTGGCTTGTGTCAAAGAATTGAGTCAAGGTCAATTGAGGAGGGGAAGGAAAGCAGGTGACTTCTAGTCAAGTGACCTCCTCTTCTCACCCCGCCAAAACACCAAAGAGATGAGAGACGTGCCTCTTTCTTGCTTCACCTGGTATTTGAACAAACCAGAGAACGAGGGAAATCTAAAGAGTTTCAATCAAAGAAGCCATCTACTGAGCAACGGGCTAGCCAAGCTACACGCATCTTAACACCAGCCCTGAGAGGTACGTGGGAATTACTTCGTACACCCTATCTTTCAAGGGTTTGTCTCACGGTTCCTGGATTATAGGCCAATAACGAAAACCGAAACGACATGAAGTCACCTCCAAATGGGTTGTGGGTCGCATCTTTTGTATGTATGGCTCCAAGGAGATGCAAAATCTCACCCCTTCACAACCCCTGTTCAGCCATTTTGCCTACGTAATGGAACGGCTGCTGATCGAAAAATGTCTCCAGCGTCATCGAGAAGACGCAAAAAATTGAAAGTCTATTATTACCAATTAACAGGCTAGAAGTTGATCTGCGATTGCTAGTAGTTATGTCAACTTAACCTGCTGAAGATCCCCTGGGACTCGAAAGAGGTTTTGGAGACTTGAACCTTTTCTTCCCCGCGCGATAAGAAATTTTTCCTGCCGTGATAAGAGAAGAGGTGGAGGGGAAGGCAGTCGACACGATTGTCTCCAACTTCTCGGCGTCTTTTCTATTCTCGGTAGGGATATTGAGCTCTGTCTTCATGACGTTGCTTCCTTTCCCCTTGTCGTGGACTAGTTTGGGCTGACGTTTGCTCTTTCAATTAGCAGGTCTAAGACTTTAGCTGTTATAGCGGTTCGTCCTGATGCTTTGATAGATCGCTAGAACCTGTCTTTCGTTTCGATTCGTTTTTTTCTTTCTTTTCTTCTTGTCTTATTTTTACCCTATGCATTCTTCGAATATGCAGAAAGAGATATTTGGCACCATGGCGGGCACGGCAGCAATGATACCAGTAATGGGAGAGGAAAGCACTGAGAACACCATCCTGGAATCGCGGGTTCTCATCATTATGACCGGAGGCACGATTTGTATGAGGGGCTCGGCGTCAGGATTTGTTCCTGCCAGGGGGTTCCAAGACGCCTGCCTTGCGCGCGTCCCTACTTTCAACGATGGCTCGAACCCTTCGCCGATGGACGTGGTGGTGAATAGCAAGAATGATATCAGGGCCCATGCCAGCTTGCGTACCCCGCAAACCCTGTACGGACGCCAAGTGCGATACACGGTTTTCGAGTTCGAAGAGCTTCTAGACAGTAGCTCTATCGATGCCAAAGGTTGGGCTGAGATCGCCGAGGCCATCTACCGGAACTACACTCTGTTCGATGGATTTGTCGTTCTTCATGGAACCGACAGTCTGGCGTATACTTGTTCTGCACTGAGCTTTATGCTGCAGAACCTGGGTAAGCCGGTCATCTTGACCGGTGCTCAGGCGCCCATGCTTGAGCTGCAGAACGACGCTACGGACAATTTGCTCGGTTCTCTGGTGGTGGCTGGCCACTTTATGATCCCAGAGGTGTGTTTGTATTTCAACAACCGACTATTCCGTGGGAATCGTTCCACCAAGGTCGCTGCCAGTGACTACGCTGCCTTTGATTCTCCCAATTCCCCGCCTCTGGCCGTGACCACATCTATGCGTACCAACATCGCCTGGGAGCTTATCCATCGCCCTACGCGCATCCAGCATTTTAGCATCCAGACTAATCTTGACACAACCCATGTTGCATGCCTGCGCATCTTCCCCGGTATCAAGCCGCAAATGGTGGATGCCGTGCTGCAACTGGAAGGTCTCAGAGGCTTGGTCTTGGAGACTTTTGGTGCTGGAAACGCCCCCTCCGGCCAAGACAATGCGATGACGAATGTTCTCGCTGCAGCAATCAAGAGAGGGATCGTTATTGTGAACGTCACCCAATGTATGGTTTTTTTTTCTCTCCCGGCTCCCTTATTTTTTCAATGGCTGACATGACGGGAATCAGGTCTAACCGGCAGCGTTAGTCCGGTGTACGCCCCCGGCATGAGTCTCTCACGCGCAGGGGTAGTGGCAGGGTTGGACATGACGAGCGAAGCAGCCCTGACCAAACTGGCATACCTTCTTGCTCTGCCGGGAGCGACGCCGGAATCCGTCTCGAAGAACATGTCAATCTCGCTTCGCGGGGAACTGACGGAAAGCTCCCAGCCTATTTTCCGCCACCCAGACGGTGCTCTACCCGAAAACGTACAGGCCCTTACCATTCTAGGCTACGCCATTGCACACGGAGATCTGGAGCGGGTGCAGGAGATCATCAAGATCGACCGTTACTGGCTACTCAACGACGCCGATTATTCAGGAAACACACCTATTGTAAGATTGCTTTTGTTTTCCACCACTGCCCAAGTTGTTTTTTTAAGCTGACGGTGCAGCACCTGGCCGCCACTTCCCCCTCGATTGAGATCCTCCGGTTCCTGTTGCTGCAGGGCGGCTCTGTCCACCTGCGCAACCGCGCGGGCCGCACGCCTCTCTTCTTGGCAGCCAACGCGGGCCTGTCGGAGCATGTGCAACTGCTACGGCAGTCGGGCGCACACCTGCACTCGGACGAGCGGCCGGCAGCAGAGCTTTTGGCGCGGCGCCGGGCGGGTGTCTGGGGTCTGGCTGGGGTGGGACCGCGCCAGATCAGCGAGCGCGAGATGGAGGAGTCTGGGGGGAATCTTGCATCGCGGGGCATGTTTGGATCTGCTCCGTAGTAGCAGTAGTTAGGAATCAACTACCTAGGTTACTAGTAGTTAAGTATGTGGTATGTAAGTAGCATGCAGAACTACCATATGAACATATCAGTAGTAATAATATGTGGTACTATAAGTAGCTGCTGTTGGGAGGTGTTGGGAGTCAGTACTACTGTAGAACGAAATTCGATTATATTAATAAATTTAATAGGAAAGTGGCAATGTCTTAACAATTATGACATATAGTAAGCAGTCAGAGAGTCATTCCACAAATAGATGCTCATGACTACTAATGTAGTATGTAGTATATGAAACTCCGCGGAGATGTTGAGCATGTCCAGTCAAATTCATTGCTAATAGGAAGGCAAAGGGCGGGGGTGTATGCCTTAGGCCGTAAATCAATACCAGGCACTGCCTTGGTAGACACGGTAGTTATTTTAACCCGGTTGAGGTAATTATTAATTAATAGAACTACCGCTAGAAGTGAACTCTAAAAGGATGTTTAGTAAGAAATACTTGGTATCCCTACTCCATAAGCTCTATATAGAGTAGCTGGAAGCGATAATTAGCAATTACCTTAGACAGTTAGTTATCTGCAGATATACACCGTAGACTCGGTCCAAGGAATGAAATCGACTACTAACTACTATTAACGCCTCTGTGGATTACTTGCGAGATCATGTGTACGACTACTGAGTCTAGTTGTGAATCGACCATCATAATACTAGATAGTACCTGTTAGCATAGTAGTTTAGGTGGTTCATAGGTAGGAAGTGGTAATTACCAGGTAGTTACCTGATAACTACTAGGTATGGAACAGGTACTATCTAGGGCCTATCGTAGGCGTGCCTGCCCTCTTAAGTACCTAAGGAGGTCCTGAATCCTGATTAGGCAGGCCACGTGAAGCTGTCAATTCCCATCGCTTTCGACGACACTTCCTCTAGGCTATCTTGGCGAATAGCCAACGGTCGCTTTATCGGAGGATGGCAAATCGGCAAAATAGAAGAGGGAAAAAGCAAATACACGGCAGAAGGGCTCGCCAAGAGTCTACGGTCTATTCGGCAGGCTTAGAGTGAGGCTATCGCCAGTATCCCTATCCTGTCCCTGGACACGATCTTGAACAGGACTTGAAGATTTCTCCCCTGCACAAGGGAGAGGAGGTGCAAGAGTAAGATTATTCTGAACTAATAATCCTAGTTCTGGTTGATACTAGTACTATTCATCGTCTGTGCTAATGAGATTCTGACGCAGAAGCAGGTGCTTCGCTGTTAGCCACCCAACAGGGAGGATATCCTGGCGAAAAAGAAATCCCTCCGATGTCTACCTATCCATCATCCACATGACTGTTTGGGGGGGGGGTAAAAGAAAAGTGCCTAGAACCAGGGAGGGCCACGAAAAGGGAAAGAGAGCCTGCCTGCGCGACACGTCTTTGGCTCCGAGTTACGTAAAAGGAGGAAGGGTCAATTGGGCAACACGGTCGGCGCAGGATGTCATAACCATCTGCCGCATCACGCAAGACTGGATTCGCAGACCGCAGGAATCTTCTCGCGGCTTCCCCATTTCTCCCTCGGGGGGGACCCTCTTGGGGGCCCTGCCGCGACTCGCGAGCCTGCGATCCAACCTTGTGCGCTGTGCCGCAGCCAGAACCCATAATTCGCTTGATCACCTGAGGCACAACGGGGCCCATGGTGGATTCCATGAACAATGGAAAAGTCAATCGCGAACACAACGGGCGCGAGAACGGCCAGGCAAACAAGCACGAGGGAGGGGGTGGGAAAATTTTCGACCACATGGGCGCTGCTGGTGCGTCCCTGGCCCCCCCTGAGCAAGAGGCCTGTATCGCCGTATAATAATGTCGAAAAAGACAACTTCCCCTCGTGTGAGGAGGATGTGTCTAAAACACTTTAAACTCTCTCCGACGAACTGCTTATTTCGTCGACCCCGGACCATCCTAGGTACCTACTACTACCTACTACCTAGGTACCTCTCCTACTAATCTCCCACCGCCAGTGGACGCCCATTTCCTCAGGCACCCACTCCTCCTCTTCTCCCACTCGCCAGGCCCTCTTGCACCACGCGTTGGCTAACGAGGTACGGAGGAGTGCTTGCTTCAGCTTGCTCTCTCTCTCACCGCGCGCTTGGTGGATTATTGACTGGGCTCTCTTTTCCCCAACACAGCCAAGTGGGCTGGGCGGAAGTCGGAAGCTCAAACCGTGGATTCAGTCCCTCGATTAGGATCCCACTGGAGCTCAGCTTTTTTTTTTTTTTTTTTTTTTTTTTTCTTCCTTTTCCCTTTTCCCTCTTGGTTAATAATTTTCTCGCCCGTGGCCACTAGCGTCAGCCGGGGAATTCACTTACTCGATTGCTATTATTACGATAAGCATCGTGACTCCGGCATCCGGAGACATTATTACTTTGAGTTCTATTATTCCAGTAATAATACTTGCCAGCTCGCCAATTTTCTTGCTGAGGACCGCCGGCGGCCACGTCAAGGACCTCCGGAACCCCGTGAGCAGGAACGTGCAGCGCCGCGCTTTCTCATTCAATCTACTACTCACTCTTACCCCCCCTCCTCTTATCCCCCCGCCTTGATGGTGTCTCTTTCTTGACCTGTCGCCGGAGACTCAACCCGACTACTACTCGCTGCTCACATGGTCTGCGTGGTGGCAGCTTATTCATTGCACCATTGACGGGGTCCATCGCGATTTAGCTCCATCGCGTTGTCCGGGCTGGAGTGATCGCAAAAGCCAAGTAGCCCCGCTACCTACAACGGAGATTGATTATTTCTTT